TGCCCCGGGTACATATTCAGGCCTGCAGTGGGCACCTGGGGGGCCCGCGATTATTTTTAAATAATTTCTGAAAGTGTGGCGAGGTGCCCTTGCGAGCGTGAAGCGGCGCTCTAGTCCAAGGGGAAGGGGTGCCCCCGAATTTGAAACCCTGGGGCGCTCCCAGGAGCCTGCAGCCAACTCCCGAACCTCAGCCTAGGTCAAGGGCCGCCCGGGGGTCGTTTTCAGTGTTTTTTTATCCGCCCACTTATTTTTTTAGTATTTTTAAATATTTTTTGAAAAAATGACGTCTGGGAAAATGTGCCGCGGCGGCCTCGGACGCCACCTTGGTGTCTCGCAGAGGCGGCGAGCTGGGCGCCCGGCCCCGTGGCCGTCCCCGCGTCCCATTCGGTGCAGGCCCGGGGCCAGCCGTACCCCTACTCCGAGGCCCCCCATGGGTCCGGGCCCCCGTCTGCGTCGCCACCCGCGGTGCCCTCACCCGCCCCCACCGTGCCAGCTGCGCGGGACTTTCCCTTTCAGTTTCGGGGCTGAGCGGGTGCAGGAGGAGCCCGGGGGTGGGGACGCGTCATCGGAGGCTCCTGCCAGCCACTGCCCAGTGTGTCCCCGCGCTCGGGGTCGCTGTGCGGGGGCGCAGGGCGGGGTCCTTCGCGGCTGGGCTGCGGTGGTCACGCCCCCCCCCACGCTCCCACAGGTCTGCGAGGAGCAGAAATGCGAAGAGGAAGTGTTCCCGCTAGCCGTGAACTATCTGGACCGCTTCCTGTCGCTGGAGCCCGTGAAGAAGAGTCGCCTGCAGCTGCTGGGGGCCACCTGCATGTTCGTGGCCTCCAAAATGAAGGAGACCATCCCCCTGACCGCTGAGAAGCTGTGTATCTACACGGACAACTCCATCCGGCCCGATGAGCTGCTGGTAACCAGGGGACCCTGGGAAGGGGGAGGGCAGGGAAGCGGTTGGGGAGCGGTGAGGGTGGGGTGGGGGTGGCCACCCGCCAGCCACTTCCAGATCCAGACCCCGACGACAGGTGACCGCACAGCTCGCGGGGTCTCCCTGGGACTATAAGGAAGCCGTTATCCCGATCGTGCGCGCACCGCGCCCCACCCCCGACCCGGTCTCTCCACGCCTGCCGCCCGCGATTCCACTTTCGACCACGTGTGCGCCCCAGAGCCCGGGCGAAAAGTGGGTGGCGCGCGCCCTCTGGCGACGGTGGCGGCGCGCGCAGCCCTCCGCGCTCCCTAAGCAGGGCCTTGGGTCCAGATGGTGGGCGGTGTTTTTGTCTCCGTACCCCAGACCCTCAGGACTGACTGTGCGTACCCCCTCTTCTCCCCCTGCCTTGCCTTCCCCGAAGCAAATGGAGCTGGTGCTGGTGAACAAGCTCAAGTGGAACCTGGCGGCCATGACCCCCCACGACTTCATCCAGCATTTCCTCCTCAAGATGCCCCTGGCGCCCGAGAACAAGCAAATTGTGCGCAAACATGCGCAGACCTTCGTGGCCCTCTGTGCCACAGGTAGGCGGGGCTCCGCAGTGGGAGGGTCAGCCCTTCCCTGGGCTTCAGTTTCCCCCACCCAGGGCAGGACCCCAGGCCTTTGCCTCCCCACCCCCGTGATGCCTTGCTTGGGCTCGCAGGGAAGGGGTGTTAGCC